CAGGTATAATATACAAGCTTCCGAAATTACTCTCACATCCGTATTTCTCTCAGTTACCGCGCACAATCGACTTCACGAGCTTTGTGGCGGCCAACGCCAGGCGTCAGAAAGAAGATAGCCTTTCTCGACGCACTGCTCCGAGTGGGCGACGCGACAATCCCGTTTGCAAATGTGGCCGCGGTTTAATTTTTGCTTTTTCGTCTGGCTGGCTCTCGCCTTCGTTAAGCTCCGCAGTGTGCCGTGGAACTGACACGCGTAAAAAGCGCAGACAAGTCGCCGGTTGTGGTTTAAAGCTAACACGAGGACCAGTGAAATCGGGACGGTCGGAGTTGAACGTACCCGAGGCACGAAACACCTATCCCCCATCCCCCAGCCTGGGGGCCGACCGTGAGTCCGATAATCATGAGGCACGACCGACAAATTTGCACCTCGATGTTGCTTCTTGCGGCCGTACACACTGCAGTTCAATAGCGGTGTTCCATGACGCTCGATAGCGGTGCTCTAGATAACGAATGGCCGTGAACCTTGCTGCGCCCAGGCCGTATCTTCTGTTACGGCTAACCCGAAGACAAAGGGAACTTCGTTTATCACTGCACCAGGGGGGAGGGCGAATGCTCGTTTAAAAGTTATGCTTGCAATCCTCCGATGGAAGATTAGTTTCGGTTCTCTATACTCTATACGAATGGAGTGTATGTGCTATACACAGGTCGCTATAATTCTAGATTCCAGCCAGCTGAATTGTACCCTGTGTACAGATGTATCTTGCTTGATCGTTGCGATCAGGATGAAAGTAAGTAACTTCGAGAAGTTAATGGGGAATCTATGGTCCAGACTAAGTTAGAATTTTTTGTTAATCTCGTTTGATTTATGCAGACTGTAGTCTATTGCGGAGGGGGTAAATTCATTATTTAAGTAAAGAGTTTCGAATAAAAGTACTTCGTCATTTTTAACCCTTTAACGCAGAGACCCTTTAGGTTTTCGGTAGACTACTTGTATACTCGTTCTTCGATAACCAAACGGGGTGGGAATATTCGGGAAAAATGTGTAACCCCGGGAAAATAGAATGGATGAGAAACAGGGGGAAAAATTTCGGAGAACTTTAAACAAGTTTATATGAAATTAATTAAGGCTTTACCTGGGTGTTATAATGTTTCGCATAACGTAGTGCTCCTGGACGACCAGAAGTTTCTGCTTCCCCTGGTGTTTCTAATGCTGTGTGCATCAAACTTTCCGACCGTCGAAAATTACAAACTATCTCGAGATCGTATATACGGTATGAAACATATTATATGAAGTCTTAATGGCAAAGGAAAAAAAAGGAAAATATATGAAAAAAAAACAAAATTATTAACATCGTGTTACATGAGATCGTATAATTCGGCTTCGCCATAATTCGGACTAATTTAGCGATACGAACGAGGACACTTTCATTCGGTCTCCTTCATGCATCGTCGATTGTTCCGTAATGTTCCATTGTGTCCGGGCGACACGCGGTTGACTACGAGTCTGGAAGCACGCGAACACACATCGGCGCACAATCAGAGAAAGAGCAAGATGACGCCAGAGCCAGAAGGCGAATGGAGGGTCGCGTAAAAAGTGTCGAGGGATGAGAGTGGCGCCGCGGAGAAAAAGGGGTGGTATTCCAAAGAACGGGATACATAACTTACGAACACACTGGTGTGGCTAGGGACTAACGTGTCGCCTGTGTACAGACAGTTTCAATCTCAGCGGTCGTAACATCATGTTCCTTGATACTAAATTTCTCTCTGGGTGCAAACTTACATAGATTATGACCTACAATTTTGAAAATTTTTCTAGCGTACCCTATGTACCTTGTAAGCTCTAATATGACTGGAATTGTCTACCGAAATACTGTTGGCTTATGAGAAATTACAAGTAGAAGATTTGTAAATAAATGCAGAAAAACTTATTGACACTGACAACATATTTCAAGGCCATTGAAATCAGTGAAGTGGACCCATAATTACCAAAATTACAAGTGGAAGATTCGTAAAAAAGTACAAACGGAGAATTATGATAAATCAAATGCATCCCTAATCGTCTGAACCACCACAAAAGGAACACCCTGTACTTCGGCAGTGCTGGTAGCGTCACCTTCGCGACGCCGATGAGCCACCCTTTTAAACCCACCCCCTCTTTCCACCTCACCCTGCGTTCGTTGTCATCAAGTACTTTGAATTTCGACCAGCCAGGGGACCTACCCGTCTCCCTGCTCCAATCCCTCGACCGCCATTCTTCCAGCCTGATTCCGCGCGTTTTAACGTCCCCCAACGCTTCCCCCTCACTTTCTGCTTCCTGTTCTTGGCTGCTAGAACCGCGAGCAAATTGAAACGGCCGTGAAACCGGAGAAATCTCCGGTCCATTCACTCAAGAGGCGCACGTATGGCCAGACTATTTCGTGTGTACGTGAAATGAAATTCGAATATCTAGGCGACATATATTTATACGCGATTCGAGGATACAGGAAGACCCAATTATAGTAGTAGGTGATGATAATGCTGGCGACACATTTTTATTGGTGTTTTTGATATTGATAAGCAGTCGTGCTTGTAGTCCTCTTTAACCTTCTCAGACCTGAATTTTCATTTAAGAGAAAACAAAATATTTGATTACATATTTTAAGTAAGTAAACTGTGTAGAGGATATTTTTTTGTTCAAAAAAAAGGTTTGTTATTCAATTATGAATTCACTGGACCTACTAAAAATATTCAGAACATGAAAAGATTGTACTTAAGGCTTTGTGTGAAATAGTAAGAAATACTAGATTAACATGAAGAATAGGTTAACATGTTGACGGCCACAGTGAAAAAGTCAGTACGTAGCCAGACACGCTTTATTTTTTTTCTTGAAGTCATAAATCATCGAAAATATGTACGTTTAGTTAATAGAAGCTGTGTTGGTCTTGTTTTAATTTATATTGCGATATTAATTTTATGGAATAACTTTCTAACGGTTTAAATAGTCCTTTTAAAACGGTATTTTAATAGTCTCTTTGTAAGATACGCGCCACCCACCTTGGGGTGACGCATGACAGTCAAAGTGTTAATGAACTTCCTTTCCCATGCATAAATTTTTTTTTAGAAAGCTGCCTGAATGAATTGTTCGTCTGCCTCATGAAGGAATAATCCCCTGCGAGAGATAGCTATTATCTGGTCACCTGAATCGATTGTTACTCCATTCGTATATTAGCTTGCAAATCAGTTTATATTCATTGTCAGCCTTCGTTCGTTCTGTTGCATATGATTTGCTTGTTCGATTGAACGGTCTCCTTTGTTACGTTCATCTTTTCTTCCTGACGCGACGCTATTTAAGCAGACTGCAGTACTCTCTCAGTGAGTACAATAATATGACGAAGCTTGTCTTGCGACAGGCAGACACAAGCTTGTTAAAGTGGTACAAATAGGGAAGCATTGTGCACAAAAGACAACTCTTAATTTCATTGTAATATGAATGTAACTTGTAATATCCGCACTACGTTACCAACCCACAGAATAATCACTTCCTGTAAAGGTTGGAAAACATTCTACACTAAGAAATAATTGCAAGTTAATTATACATATTAGCTCTAACACAGTAAAAACAGGCTTACCTTTCGTAATTTTGATTTTGCATAAACTTCCGCAGTCTAGTCATAACTTTTCTCAGGTCCGTATTTGTTAGTAACGAAAGAACAGATTATTTTTACACAAGAAAATTTGTCCTGCCTGTCGCGACAAATCTTCGCCTATAAACAACTTTAAAGTCCTCATGCGGCGTTTGTCCCTTTCCCGCGCCTTAAATCAAAATTAAAAGGGTGCCCGGGGGCGCGTTACAGCGCGCACCCGTCTGAAAAACTTTAATCATGCAACACGGAGTTGCGCACCGCAACAAGTTTCACGCAAGTTTCACCCAACCCATCGCGAAAAATTCTGTTCGGCTTGATTAAAACTTTACGCGTTGCTGCGGCGGCGCGCAATTAAAATCGCCGAAAAAATGCATTACTCGGCGTTAATTATCATTCGGGTGTCCGTGAACGACGTAACACGAGAATTTAATAATACTCCAGCCTGGAACATTGTAAAAAGCGGGTGTAGTCGCGCGACACCAGCGAGAATGTGCTCTCGATATCGGTCACACACATAGTGATGGGATCAAGTATGTACTGGAAACAATCGATACCATATAAACAATGTTCGAACCCCTTAGAAGTAATCAGAAAAGAAAAATGTATCGATGTAATCGAATACTCGTGGCTTATATGTGAATCTTCTACATGTAATTTAACGAGTTATATTTAAATGAAATTGGGACTGTGTGGAACATTTTCGAACCTAATTATAAGTACAATAAAAAAATAAATTAATCACAACTACTACAAAGTGTTTTACTTTTATAATCATACCGTATGATTCATATGCTTATATTACCACAATTATTATTGAAATAACTGTTTAATTGAAGTATTTATATACGATCTTTTCCTTTATGCTGTTTCTCTTGCTATCCATAATAGTTCCTGCTTTTGAGAATACTCTCTGAGACGATACCGATGTCGCCATAGTACACAAATAATTCCTTATAATTTTCGATAAAACAGGATTACTTGTTAACATTTTCAAACCAGAATGAAAGTAAATGTGCCTTACGGTTTACATACTGAACTCGAGCGAAATCATAATCCTTCATGGCTCGATTACTACTTTCACGAAATACAATCCTTCCAAATGTCAAAGTACATATAAATAGATTCTCGAACTGTACAGGTACTAGATCTGGACATTCGAAACCAGCTTGTATAATCCACGTACTTTCTAAATACCCAAAGTGTAAAATCACCTCTTAGAATTAATATAATCGAATCCCATGAAATGAAACTTAGCACTAGACTTGACTTGGATTCGCGAGTGCATATTGAATTCGATCCCATCACTACACACACACATACCGATAAACCAGTCCACGGTGATTTAATGGCGAACCATCCATCTTGGCTGTTTCAGTGTCACGCGTACTGGTGGCACGCCGTTGCTACTTACAACGGGGAATCTTCGAGTCAGCAATCAGGAGGAACACATTGATGTACCATCGGCGATCGATCCGCGGCGGAAGTGACGAGGCACCGACGACGACGACGACGCCGTGCCGCCGAGGAAATATCGTTAGACGTGAGTAAATCCATCCCTGGCGCCACGTGTGAAATCGAATCCACCCCCTTCCCCCCTCTGCCCCCCTTTCCATTGTTCGGTGGGCACGCGAAAATTCCCGCCCCGATGAATTCTACCGCGTCGGGGAACCGCGTCGAAACCAATCTCACCCCCCCCCCCACTTTCGTCCCTCGTAATAATCGCCCGACCAGAAAGCAACGAGATGCACGCGGAAAATCCAACCACACGCGCGAAACACGGATTCTTCTGGGGTGTTCTCCGTGACACTCGGTTGGCTGGCTCCCCTCCACAACGAATGAAATCATCCCCGCCGTTTTAAGCGAAGGGGTGGACACGACTGTTAAGGAGTTGATGATATTATACCTGCGGGTACGTGTACAGGGTGGTTCTTGGATACAGGACCGAATTTTTGGAGAACGTTCTGTGGACAGTGAATCATCGATGAGCGTTCGGAGGGTTCTCGACACTTACAAGGGAAGATTCAGGAGCCAAATATTTATTAATATTATAATATATCATTTAAAAGTCGACTTTAACCCTAATCCGTCCCTTGTGTCAATTTGACAGAGTTTTCTCCTTACGTTATTCTGTTATGTGCAGCTAAAGTTAACCGAGGCATCGTGATTTTTGCTTTAAAGAATTTGCAAATTTAACTATTTATCACTTCATTCCATTAATTTTTACCACTGGATCAATCTGACACCGAGGGACAAATTAAGTTGGGAAAATGAGGGACGGATGAGGGTTAATAAGTATAAAATCTCTTACATGTTCATTCATTGGTGTGCATTTGACGTAAAAGTATTGACAATCAAGGGGATGAAAAGTCTTAGGCTTCCTGAACAACTTCTTTCTTAACCGTTTCCATATCAATTAGACAAACCACGAGGCAACACCCCAATACCACGTATTCTCGCGGCACGGAGAACGTGTTATACACTTACCATAATAAAAGAAGGGGAGGCTTTTTATCGTTCCAACGAAACAGAATACACTCCTAAAATTCGGTCCCCCATTTTAGAAACACCTTGTACGCACACACGCCAGGTTACTACCAGACCAAAATTACTGGGCAAGATGCGGTGCGCCGCGCGGTTGCATTCTCGTTCACGCTCGTATTCGGATTCATAACTGCCTACGACCGCCAGTTCCAGCGGAATGGAGACGCTTAACGAATGCCGGGAATTACCGGAAAGTAGAATTATACCGTGGGGAGAGAGAGAGGGAGAGAATGTGCACGGTGAAACGATACCTGTATTTTTAGCGCGAATCGATAAACGCCGCCCGGGACTAGAGGGAGGACGGTGAATTTAAATTTCCAAGAGAGAAATGTATTTGCGTTTTGGATTATACGCGTTGCGAAGGAGAATTCCGAAGGTGTTTCCCTATCCCGGTTCCTGGAAACGTCGTTCCTTCGAGATATCGATATATGTATGTTTCCACAACAATAGGAATTGCTTGTACCGTCGTGGAAATATCGGTCCATGAATAACGAAATCGGATTACGTCCTACTTTGTCCTTTATACTCGCCCCCTTAATTGCTCCCCGTGCAGCATTTTCGCAATCGATAAATAAATCTTTGATGTTGATAGTTTTTCCAGAATCGTTCGTTATCAGAGACCGAAAATGACAGTTATTTTAAATATTTCTCGGGGGAAAGCCATTGAGGAAAAAGTCATTTTTATTTAAATGGAAACCAGATATTAATAAATCGCGGAGAAATTTTTCAACAAATGACGTGAATAAAAAATATGCATTTTTAACTATTCTGGTTACGAATCACCATTATAAATGAGGAATATTATTTTTAGTTACGAGATTTTTATTTTGGTAACTTTCGATCATCGTCAATTTTTATTAAAATATATATCAATGACGCAAAATGAATTATAGAATTTATATATTTTAAGTTAAAATATAGATACGTTAATAAAAATAACGTTATGAAAAATTGACGATGGTCAAAAGTAGTTAGATTCCCTTGCTGATTTAACAGAGTGTTTTATCAAATTACAGTGATCAACTGTATATCTCGAAGAAAACAAAAATTAAATATTCATCGGGTAACAGTGGACCAAAACGGATCCAGGTACCAAAAGTTTGTTCTTGATCCTTCTTTCACAGACGATCACATCGAAAAGCTTCTCTACTTTCTACGAATCATAAAATCACTGTCTAATTAACGACAAACAGGATTAATATTCTATTCAACGCGTGGCGAACGCAGGATTATTACATGCGAGAGCCCAGTCTGCTACCACCTCAAAAGACCCATAGAAATGTGCGGGATACGCGGCCATATGCGGACTCGCGTTGTCACGGCAGTTGCATTCGCGAGATGAGAGCGACACGTACGTGTCACTCACAGTTCGTGACAAGCCAGGCGGTCTGCTCGCGCGTTTATTTCGCCGTTATGTTGATTACTATCCGGGGGTCGTTACAGTATCGGCCCAGCTATAAACGACGCGCATCTGGTCGACCAAAAGGCAACACACACGTGTGTTCATGTATGTGTCTATGGTATATTACCTGGCCATTTATTCAATCCGGATTCCGTAAATTCCGCTTACATCGTGTTCCTAGGGTGTCGATACCATCGAGTCATGTGATATTCCGTGGATACCGCTGTAAAGGACGCGGTAGCCCGGCCGCAGAGGCAAACGTATCGACGTCAAGTGAAATTACTCCTCGTCGAACGGAAACTGAATACGGTACCTACCATACGTCTAGGTCGCCACCACTGATCAGACCATGGACGTTATTGAAAGGTGGGGATCTACGTCGGGTACGACTTGTGGTCTTGTTTAAATAGTTCGTCCATAACGGAGCCAGACGAAATATGTATCAAGAAAACAGGGAAAGAAGACTGGATGACGTTGATCATGAAACAGAAAGCGTATCAGGGCCTGAAAGGGAACGTCCGTCCGGTGACCCCGTTTCGCCCTGGCTTTTCATGCACGCACCGGCGTGACTGAAACGAAACTGGAATACGCTAGCGCGGAAATACGTCACCGGTAGGAAAATGGGTCCCCCTCTGGTTTCCATGGAAAAATGTACGACTACCGGTGAAATCGATGTTATAGTCAGAGACTATGGAACCGACTAATCGCGATTACTTCACGCCGATAGCATATACCCTTTCCTCCCTATGTCGACCTCACCGTTAACTGATGGTCCGTGTTAATGGCGATTACTTCGTACCGCTACCGATCATCGAGGACGGTGGTTAGTCGATGGCCGCAGCTAATAACGATCCCGTACACATCGTGGTTTCTGACCCTATCGATCGTAGCTTGTTTTACCGCGCGTGGAGAAATGAAATTTCGCGGAACACTCGCGGGAAGAGTATTCAGGTCACATTTGTAGATCGTATTTTCGAAAGATCCATTTTTAATTGAAAACTGTGGAACACTTTGAAACTGTGGTTGACTCTTAAGAAATATCATTCTAATCAAATAATTTATATTTACATTAAGGTTTCTCTTCTGAAGGGATAAACGTGTCAAGTTCGATCGTAAAAGCTCAGTAATTAGTAAGAAGTCCGTCATAAAATGTTCTCGTATACTACGAAAGAAAAAATTTCCCGGAATACTGTAAGTACGCACTGTGTTCGATGCAAACAGCGAGGTGAATTTCCATAAAAAAGATACATAAAAACTTCTAGAGAAAAAGCGAAGAAGTGTTATTTTTACGTTGACCTGTACAAAGTTCTCCGAAAAAAGTCGCTACTCGGTTTCCCTTTGTAGAACGGAAGACATTAAATTATTTACGAGCTCTTCGCGCAACCGGTAATAGGTATCTGTCTTTTACCCTTTTTATTCGGGAATTACATTTCCCACCGGTTAACGGCTAGACCAAGATTTGCTCGACGACCCACATCGACGGATATTTTTCTTTTCGGTGGTCTCTGCCCGCTCTCGCGCGAATGCTTGTGTCCGCTTTAGATCGAGCTGAAAGGGCTACTAAACTCTAACCAATTTCATAGCCGCCGCTTCGATATAAACTCGTAAAGGCGAAATTCAATACAGTGCCCCGCCCTGCACCGTGGCGAACGGTAGGAAGGCCTTGTAACAGTAAAATATTTATACGCGACAAATGATGCGTCTTCGTCTCGTTTCTTTCTTATTTATCTCTCGTAAACGTGAAATTGAACGATCGATACACAGGATAGTGTGCTGCTGTAAAACGGGTACGGCACTTTTTTTACCAGAAACTTCGGTAAAACGTACCACGGGAACTGTCCATTCCTCTTGTCCCATAGTTCACACCTGAACGCGCATCTTCGCCGACAGATTACGTATACACGTATCTAGGCGCCGTTCGAGAACGTCAACGATACCTTTGTTTATGGGCAGCCCTATCGTAGCGACGTGTACGTTCCATACCGTGAAAGCACGAATCCCCACGTGTCTCCAGACGGTCGCTAAAGGTGCGCGCAATATCTCCCGTCAAGGAGTCACGTCCCCCGCGCGTAAATCTTCATCGAACAATCCCGCAACGCCCCACACGTCGAAACGGGACAGTATATACGAGGCGGACAGTTAATCAACGTGTCGATCCGGCTGGAGACAACCGGGCGTTATCACGACTAAAATAAAAATATAGCCGCGCGGAAACCGCGCACAATTATTGTGGCCTGCGCGCAGTTACAGTAAATCATCGATGAGTCTTCGAAAACACCTCTGAACTGAGTGCTCTGACGTGATCCCCAACGTTGCACGCTTCATTGGTTCCACAGGGAACGCCTCCCCTCCCCCTAGTGGTGGGGGTGACGTCTAAACACTCAGTGCTGAGGAATCTTCGAATACTCAGCGATGATTTACTGTATAATGGACCGTGCGTAATTACGGTAGTCCACGTGCAATTATCGTGGCAATATTTTAGGAAACAGTCGTGCTGCCCTACAATCGTCAAACGTGTACCGTATTCTGTTCGTTGGTCTAACAACCACGAACCAGAAA